ATATGGTGAAGCTACACTCGATGTTGGAAGGTAATGTCAACGTGTACACGATGGACCATCGTGGGACCGGACGAAGCACTCTGTTGGATTGTCTCGCAGCTCAGGTGACAACTTTCGGCTCCCCATGGGGAGACGCGATTGGCATCTCAGAAGTAGGCTCGTGTGCCAACGCGCTGGAAAACGAGTATGGTGATCTCGCATCTTTCTCGATGACGAGTGCTGCCACGGATATTTCCACATTTATTACTGAGCACTCGAACGGAGCGAGTACCATCGTGTATGGGATCAGTTACGGCACAGCGTTGGTAGAAAGACTCATGCATGTGGCACCACCTCATTTGAAAGAAGTTTGTTCTCGATAGTGTCGCTATAGCTTCAGGGGCGGGGCCCAATAATTTCCCGTTCATATCGAAATGGGACATGGATTTTGGTGAAGTTGGCGATGCCTTTCTGAAGCTTTGTGCCCGTGATCGCGAGTGCAGCTCTCACTTTAGTTCATCTGGACTTTTCGGCACGCTGCAAGATGTGATCAATCAGTTCGACAGGAATCCCAACTCGACCTGTGCTGCATTGGTGACGGAAGCTTATAAGGAACAGAGCAGTGACCCCCCTTCACTGATTTTGCGCCGTGCACTGGGGAATCTGCTACCGGGTTCGATGGATCGGAAACTGATCCCTCCAATTGTCTACAGATTAAATCGTTGTGAAGCGAACGATGCTGAAGTTTTGACGAACTTCTTCGCGACTCTCAACTCAGTTCTCTCCGAAACATCTCCGGATCAGGTTTACGAATCGTCACTGCTCAATTACCTCATTATCTACTCCGAGCTTTGGGAGACCCCAACTCCTTCTTTCATTGAGCTGCAACAGCGTTTTAAAAGCACAAGAATGTCCGACGTTGGGATATACGATACTGGGAGGCGATATTGCGCTTTTACCAAAGAGGACTCGGAAACGTGTAATCAAGAGAGTAGCAGCAATTATTCGGGTAATGGTATCGTCTACCAGCGCGATGAGTATTGGAACAAAAGTGCCACGATCCCGATTCAAGCCAGTGTTTTGCTCATGCAGGGTACACTGGATCCCAAAACACCGCCCAAGTACGCAGATTACCTGCTCGAAACGCTGGTTGGGGACAACAAAGAGTTGGTCTCTTTCAACTACGCTACACATGGTACAATAACATCGACCCGATTAGTAGAAGGTGATCGATCCCACGAGTGAAACCTGCGGTATGAAGATTCTCGCGTCATATGTGCGCAGTGAAGGTGATTTAAGTCGTCTGGACAAGTCATGCGTGAACGCAAGGGCTTCATTCAATTGGACTGCAAATGAATTCCGTGTACTGAAGTACCTGGGCACAAACGATGCTTATGATGGCAAATATTTGCTGTCTCAACATTCGAACGAGGGAATTGGGAGTGGCGAGTCGGGATCTCAATGATACAGTGCACATACGTAGCGTCTGCAACGTCCGACATTGGTGACAAGCACTAATCAAAGAAAGTCGTCTGCACATAGATGGCAGAACATTTTTTTGGAGATGAGGATTGAACAAAAATGATTCTATAATAACAGCTACCTATTTTACAGCACGAATCCATGAAAAACTAAATGTTAACGGGCGGTCAGCCATTCTTCCAGTAATCTAA